CAAATCCCCAATTCTAGTTCAAACTGTCCTTACAATTTAAAGAGAGTTTCTCATTTAATCTGCCCTTTCCCTCCCTTAAACCACCTTAAAATAATTTACCGTTTGCTCTGGATTTTGCAGGAATATCGAGAGCAATCTGTAAGAATGCCAGGCACCTGTTTACCTGCTGTGCCATGCAACACTGCCATCACCAGTGTGTCACAACAGGAGACCCAGCCGTGTGATTGATGCTGGGCACCTTGTTTCTGAGCTCAGAGGGAGTAACCTGAACAGCAAAGGTGGCACCAGGTGACACAGTGGGGATATGTGTGTAGACAGTCACCTGGCATCACAAAGGATCCAGGGCAGCTCTGGGGCCAGAATACTCCGGGAGCATCTCAGAGTATTCTGACCGATGTAAAAGGGAAGAGTTCTGCTCAAAATCTGAGAACTGCATTATACAGGGAGATAAGTCTTTCAGATAGTGTGGACTCAAGCCAGATATGCCTTTCCAGTATGCTTCAGCCCTGCGGAAGGATGATAGCTGGGGGTTTATTTCCCCTTTCTTTCTTTAGATGAAGCAAAAATGTGGTTCACAAGCAAATAATTAGGGGCCTGTTCCCCTAAGTTGGTTCTTCATTCCAAATCACCCTTTCCAAATGCTGGTTTTCCTAAGATGCATGTCTCCTTGGTTCTCCCCACCCCTCCTCTGTCATATTTTTGTTAGATATGCTTGTATGTGATGTGCAGTTTGGACCATAAGCATTCCCCTAGCTCCCTCTAACTTTTAGATCAAGTGTTGCAGAACTGCACTTTATTTTTGTGGAAGGTCAATCATGTTTCTGTTCTCATTTTCCCCTATTTTTCCATTTCCAAAATGGAACTAATATGGTATGTAAGTGCTAAAGAGGTAGATGGTGCAACTCATTGGGTTACGTAAACAATAGCATTAGGAATGTCAATTAGATTCATTACATTTAACACACAGTTGGCCCTCCATATTCATAAATCCCTCCCCCCACGGATTCAACCATCCATTGCTTGAAAATATTAAAAAATAATACAAATTCCAAAAAGCAGGCCTTGATTTTGCCACTTTATTTAAGGGACACCATTTTACTCTGACACTGTATTTAATGCAAACAAAAATCCATCAGTGATACTTTTATTGGCCAACCAAAATGCACAATATACCCCGAAAGTAAAAAGAAGCAGTTTCTGACTACTTTCTGTTCAGGTTAACCCCATTTTAACAGCAATGTGTGTGAAAATCTGCCCACTTTTGTGGGTTTCCCCCACCTTTTAAATCCCCTTTCTGCACGGGATTTCCCCCGTGTGATAAACTCCCTAGTTAAACTGATATCAAAGTGCTATCATTGTGTAACATAGATTCATGCAAAATGTGCACTTAACATTTGGGCCCTGTATCCAAATCCTTCTCCAACCAAGAATTCACAGGTTAGCCTCCAATAGTTAATACTCAGCCAGGCCTTGAGTTCCAATTTGTTTACTAGGAATGATAATGGCCAGCCTCACAGGACAAGCAAAATACTGTGGTGAGTTCCACCGGCTCCATCACTCCAAATTGATGCTCAGAGACAAATCAAAAGAATGTTAATTTTTCTTAATGACCCATGGCTGGTCGCTGAGTAAGCAATTCACGTTGCAAGGTGGGGGTGTAACAATTATATTGTTCCTTGAGAGCGGATGAGGAGCAAACAAACAGTTTGCTGTTTGAATAGGAAGATGGAAGCACATGTTGAGAGTGGAGAGATGGTAGCATACCCTCCAACTATCCTGATTTTAGCAGGGACAGTCCCCATTAAGCCTCTGTAATCTCACCTTTCAGATGCTTTTAAAATGTCCCAGTTTCTTTCCCTTCCTCCCATTCTCTCCCTTTGTCCTCAGCTTGCTTCATTTGCTGCAAACTGAATTCAAAGTGCAAAAGTAATTAATACTGAATTAACTTAGCAGAGGGGAGGAAATCTACCCTTCCCTGTAGGCTCAGGCAACAGCAAACTGCTGCAGCCTCTCCTAGCTTGTGTGCTCTTTCACATTAAAAAAATCTTTGCCATTTTGACTACACACCAGTGTTGCTTGGCCACACGTGTCCTGGTTTTCACCAGTGAAATGTGGTAGGCCAGTGGTTCTCAAACATTTTACTCTTGTGACACCATTTACATCTACATGTGGACATCATCCCCTTCCCGCTCAGTATAGTATATGAATAAAAATGCTTTGTTTGATTAGTGTGCATATTTTTGTTCGGACATTCCTGTATATTCAAATTTTAACATTTGATAAGGAAATAGCTCTCTTCCTCTTCTTCCTTTTTAGGCAGAGGCTCTAAGCACCCTCCTTGCCTTTTTCTTCTCCTGCAAAAGTTTGGGAAGCATAAAAAGAGGAGGAGGAGGAGGAAGAAGAGGAAGGATCAGGACCTACTGCATTATTTCTAGATCCTTACAATGTCTTTTTAACATTGTTATAGCTTGTGTGTTTAACTTGTGCTTTTAATTCAGTTAGTTGAATTACATTTTAAATTATTGTATCAAGACGGCATGTTGTTTTTTTTAACTGTATTGTGTTTGTTAAGGTGTTGTACGCCACTTTGAATCCCATACTGTAAGAAAGGCAAGATATTAACTAACTAACTAATTTCAAATCCAAATTCATCTGGTTGTCCTCTCAGGTTTTCTCTATGTGGAATGGGACAAGAGGGCGGGAGAGGTTGCCATCTTAAACCTTGGCCTCAGGCAACAAAATGTCTTGAGCTGGCCTTGAGAGTACCTAGTATAGCAACTCAGCAGAAGGAGATTGGTGACATTGTGTTAAATGCCCTTTGAAACTTCCACTCATGATTGAAATGGAATATACAAAATGGAATAAAGGATAGGGGAATGTAGAGAGAGAACTAGAAAGGAGCCGTGGGTGTAAATATATTTACACTTTAATATCTATGAATACCAAAAGTGAGACTCTTGAAATACCATGGTATTTCTGATTAATATGTATGGTTGTGATTTCTGATTAATATGCATGGTTGTGAAAGCTGGACAGTGAAGAAAGCTGACAGGAAGAAACTCAAACCATTTGAAATGTGGTGCAGGAGGAGTTTTTCAGATACCATGGATTGCCAAAACCACAAATACAGTTTGACCTCTGTATTAATGGATTCTGAGTCCACATATTCAACTAACCACA